GTGAAAGTAAAGGATAAATAATACGATGATGAATAATTTTCTTCACAAAATGGGTTTTCCCGCATCCTGTGGGGCCCGCAACGACACAGGTAAATGGATGTTTCAATGACGGAATCTCCATCTTAAAGAAGTTCATTACATAGAAACATAAATGTTATATCTAATAACTGTTAATTTTAAGAAAATTAATAAATCCTTCATTCACTCATAATGACTACCGTGGAACCAATGAAATTCTAAAGAAAATAATCTAAGCACATGCCTTTTTTCTATGACGTAGCAACTACCCTACTCCCATCCACCTCCTGATAAGACTCCCTGTCTCCATTTTCAGATAAGCCTCCCCAGGACTAAAGAGAAGGGCTAGCTCATACAGCGTTTCCCCCTGAAACAGGCAGTGAGAAGTGATGACGTAGCAATGATGGCACTGAGCGCGGAGATGCAATTGACAACATAGAAATTAGCGTTTTAAATTTGAAGAATCAGCGTTTAAAATGAGCTGTGTGTGAACGATAGCTATAATTTGGAAGAGACAATGTTATTGCAGTATGCATTTTACACTGAACATTAAAAAATTTAATAGTACTTACTTAATTTTAAAATAATAGATAAAATGCGCTACTCTTAGCATAAAGTTCCTTTTTTTATTTGCAGGGATTCTTTTTTTCTTTAAATGCCTGTTTTGTTTCTAATCATTTCTTTATCTGCATGTTAACTAAGAGAAACTGTACTACTGCTAAGATAACTATAATAACAGCTATTTAAAATTAATCAAAAAAATAACCTTATATTGGCATAGTTTTAAACGTGTATGGTTATATATGGCAAAATTTCTGCTAATCTAAGTTTGAGTTTCAGCCTAATTGTTAATTTTACATTAGCATATTTTTCTCCCAATTCATTATAATAACATATATTTTTTTAAAAATAATTTTGTAACTTAGGCTTACATCAATATTTCATTTAAATAAATACATGTAAGATTGTTATCTTAATTTAGACAAAACAATTTTATTCACAGTACCTAAAATAATTATTTAATTTTTCAAAAGTGGGGGTTAAGGGGGCAGGTCTTCTTATGCCAATTACTTTAATATTATACTTTATAAATATTTTATCTAGAATGCTAAGCTAGCACAAAATCGAATCAATAATAACAGAGGATACAATAAAAATAATTGTAACAATAACTTAACAGAATTAGTTCTCATTTGAAATATGCTTTACGCTATTAACTTCTAAAATGCAATCTAGAAATATTTTCAAATCAAAACATATTATATATACTTACTTTTTGTCTCTCGTTTCCCTTGACCATTAAATAATTTGGTTTTAGTTTTGTGGACACAATTTAATTCTCTTTAATAATATAAACATTTTAAACAGTTCCATCTTCTAAAACAAATCCTTTATCTAAAAAGTGGTTTCTCAGTAATTTGAGCCCACCAGAAGCCGAGCGGTAAAGTCGCTGAACACTGGTAGTTCGGTCCGAGGTTCGAATCTCGCGAACGGGCTGGCTGCATGGGCGTTTTCGTGGTTTTCCCCATGTGTAACGTGTATACGAGCCAGTTTCCCTTAGAAAGTCCTCCACAAAGGCATCCCTCCCCTTAGGCAGATAGCCCTAGTGTACTTTGTCATAATTAAATACACCTACACTCAGTAATTTGAGGCAGTGCGCTAAATCTGCAAAAACCCATAATTTTTTCGTTTGGAATACTGGATTTGGAAAATGAGAACTATTAATCGAAATCTGTAACTCTTTCCACAAAGTAGTATATCCTCTTAAATCAGACACTATTGCTTTCACTTCTACTCTAGATGATTGAATATGTCTTATGAGTGAAAAAAGAAGTTCTTTCTTCATTGGAGTGTTAAAATCAAAAAATATTGGTTGTTTCCACTGCGAAATGAGACCTCTGATAAACTGCACTTTTTGAAAAGGACCGATTTTGGTCCAGTTTAGAGTCATAGCAGAGTTTAGAATCTATGTGCATTTCGTCGAAACTGAGAACGCATATTTTTTCTACAGAATTCAATATTGGCATCTTGCATCTTTCCTTCATTACAGCAAGAACATCACTCTGAATTCCTGGACTACATGAAAATTTAGCGCACCATCTCTTTAATGTGCTAGTGCTAGGCAAAGGAATTCCCATTTTTTCTCTCCAAAAATCGTAGCTTTTAGATGACAGAGCTCTTATGACAATGGCAACGTGAAATATCTTCACTAGTCCACCGGATTATTTTCCCTTCTTTTCTAGCAATGCGTTAATCTGCGTCTTTGTAAAAATATGCTTTAGACGTTTTTTCCAAATACTCCTCCGATCTGTTCTGTTTTTTCCTGAATTTCGCTGCTTGGGATTTTAATTTCTGAATTTTCCGATACAAATTTCTTTCTAAATGTCGTCCACCTTCTTTGTCGCTGAGCAAACATTCTAAAATTCTTTCTTTTCTCTATTTTTCAATATTTTATTACAATTTTCTAAGGATATTATTTTGTTCTTCAAATTATCAATACATTCTTGTTTATCTTTACACTTAGGGCACTCAGGGATATTGTCACATAGGGCATTGTCACTTGTGAGTTTTATTTCAAAATCATTCACATTTGATTTATTATTGTCAGCTTCTTCAATTTCGTTTCTCGGCCTCAAAATAAATTTTCTTTGGGCTTAATTCATGTAGTCTTTCAAAAGCACTCTGCATTAGTTTTTTCAAATGTCTCCGATTTCTTGGTGTTATTTTGTTTACTGCACACGATAAATTTACTTTCGGCACAGCATTGCATTTCAACAGTTTCTTTTGCGGCAATCCAAGCAAGCGATTTTCTCATGTCATCTTCATAATCACTGCACATAAAATGTTCGCTGCAAATTCTTGCTTTTTTTTCACATTAATAGAATCCTGTCTTCGACATTTTATGTATCCATTCTTTCGTCAAAAGCAAATTGTCCTTGGGGAAAGCATGAAATACAATATCTCTTCCTTTCGTATTTCTATAAGTGTTACGGCACGTTGCTACAGCACAAGAAGCCATATTTCATAAAGGATACTTTAAATATAGAATTTTAAAAGGAAAAACTGACTAAAACTATATATACAACAAATTATTTTAAATATTTGCATTATTAGAAAACAAATATGTATGATTAAAATTAATTTGGGATATGCGATCTCCAGAAAATCGTCTCGCAACTGAATGAAACTACAGTTTTAAAGGCGCGAAATCAGAGCAGGTGCAACAGAGATACGTCAGATTACTTCCGGTTCCCCCCTCTATGAGACTCGCGTCGGCGAGGAGTCGAACAAAGGAATGACCTAGCCCTTCTATTTATCCCTGAGCCTCCCTCCCACGGCTAACCCTTCCTTCTCGGGATCTCCCTCAACTCCAGATCCCTAAGATCCCGATCCAGAACTGTTATTATTTCCCTACTAAGGACGATTGCCAGTTAAATTAGCAATTTTCATTTTATATCTTACACACACACACACGTATATAATATATATGTACGTGATAATAAAGAGAAAAAGATGGAACAATGTTGTTAGGCGTAGAATACTGAAATGCCGATCCACAATGAATAAATTTGGCAGCCGAGGCAAATTTAATTCCACTTTCATTTAAATCCCCATTTCTAGCCACAGTTCACTTGGCACTTTAATCCTTGCTATTTTCAGAACATTTAAATTTTTTTAATACAATTGCGAGAGTTACAGCGAAATTATGTCTAAGCAGCAACAGAGTTCCAGGTTCCATTATAGCCAGACTTAACTTGAGAAAATATCAAGTTTTCTGTCGGCAATCATCAGCTGTGTTGCTTGAAGCGATGCAGCGATGAGAGTACATAATCTGGTAGCAACAGAGTTACAAGCGAAATGCCTTTTATCTAATATGGCAGCTCTCCCAAGGAAGGTTGGTTTTGGTTTACGTTAGAAAAGCTTCAGTTTTCAGAGTTTAGGTCCCGAAATAACTACGTCATCAGCGTTATGTCAGCTCTGGCATAAATTAATCTAGAACTGACGCAGTCCAGAAATGTTGCTATTATTTTTAGAATCAAGAGGAAATAACCAAATTAAAAAAGGGCAATTAAAAGGCTATTACTAAATTAAATTATAAAGCTGATTTACATATTTTTATCTTATATAGGAGCCACAGCTCCTGGTAACTTTTTGGCGAGCTCACTACAATATTTCTTCCTATTATTTTTGCAGCATATTGCGCAAAAAATTTTATGACCAAATAGGTCTTACAACACAATACTTATTAGCTTTTCAATTTCAATTATATATATAGCTCTAAATTTCTTACTTTATGTTTTTAATGATAATTTTCCTACAGCATGCTTTTCAAATAGATAACTTCATCTTGATGCATTTGAATTTTCCAGAAGGACATTAAAGAACCGTGGATTTCAGCTTTTATCGTGGTGTCAGTTCTGGCAAAATCTTTATAACAATATTATAATATTAAACAAAATTTATTCAATAACTTTATTATTTTATATAAAGAACATATTTCTTTTTTAAAATTTCTTTCTATTTTCATATTTTATGCAACAAGATTTTAATGCTATATATCAATTTAATGACAAAACAATGAAAACATATTGATTTATAACATCTGCTAACAAATTTATTAACCCTAATTTTGATAAGCAATTAGCTTACTATTATGCGCGAAAATACTAGGCATGTTTATATTTTGTTTTTTTTAAAAAAAAAAAAAACTGTTTTCTAATTATACATCTAGATAGATAGATATAGGTATAGATAATGACGGGACGCGATTTTCACATAGTAAAAACAGTTAGTTTCATGTGTGTGTTGGGGGGGAGTAAAGTTTTATTTGGATGCGCTGCTAATTTGCAATTTGCCTTTAAAAGTTAACTAAAAAGCATTTTAAAGTTATAAAAATTTCCTTTGTGTGCATTATTTTTGTATTTTCATTGTTGTATAAAAACTAAATTTAATTGCATTTCCCTTTTATCGTTTCTTTTCAGGTAAGAATATTATGCTTTGTAGGAGTATTGCCTCAACAGCTACGGAAAAAGTTTGGTCTATTTGTGTATAATTCCAGTTTATTTCTTGTCGTTGAATTGCTGGGCCAACAAAAAGGTAAGAACGCGACTGTTCCGCTATTAGATAAATGTTTAATTGTTATTTTGGTTGTAATGGTATTATTGATTTTTCATTTGCTAAATGTTTCTAAAAGCTTATTCTTTTAATTTTTTTAATAATAGAAAAATGTTAGTTTCCAGGTATATTTTAAATTATCCATTATCCAGATGATTAAATCCACTGTCCTTCAAATTTTACCAGCTTTGTATGGTTCGTGCACATGCTTAAAGCTCTTTAACTTAAATTTTCAACTTTCTTTAGTGCCATTTAATTTTTATTTGAAACTATTTAAAGACTTGATTTTTTTAACCATTTTGTTTGTTAAGTTTTCGCAAATAGGGAAAGGGGCGAAAATTTTAATTGAAATTTTGAGTTTGTAAAGTCCGTATCACAGGTAATAAAATATGTCAGTACCATGTGCTATTGAGAATCTTTAAATGAAATTACTTGCTTTAATGTAAGTCGTGTAGTTGGACTAGATTGTTGAATTTTGTATCGTATTCTCTTCATTTCGAATTATTCGTTATTTTTTTATTTAAATAATGTATTGATTGAAATACAGAGAAAAAATGATTTTTTTAAAAAAACTTCGTTATTAAATACATACCTATTTAGTTTCCTCTCGTATTATGAAAATGCCTGATACAATGAACACTTTCATAGAACTTTTCCTAAGACGGCCACTTCTGAAAATGATCAGTATTTCTGAGAACATAAATAAGCATTAGCATGTCGAACATCATTTCTCTAAGATGATGATCACATACACAGAAGACCAAACTCATCTCGAACCATAAGTGGTCATCTTAAAATTCCTTGTATTTTCATTGGGGAACTCTTAATATACGGATTTAGTTGAGATTCCAACTTGCGCGGTATTGAACGAGTTCGGTATGTTATGACTAAGTTATATTTAGATAATATCGTCCCTCTTCCGTATGTCGCAAACAAAGGGCGTTGTCTAGAGAGCGCCATCCTTCAGAGTTCATATCACTTTTCTTTTGAAAAGCATACTTTATTGCAAGGGCGAAACCGTTATAGCTTGATGAGTTTATATATATATATTAATTTATTTAATAAATAATATTGATTATATTATCTCCTAAGATTAATTATAGTAGAATTATCTGAAAAGAGTGAATCCATAACATTATATATATAGAGAGAGAGTATTATAAACTAGGTTGTAAGTACAATACTAAAAAGACCAATTTTTGGTCAAAATCTTTTGCGCAATATGCTGCAAAATTAAGAAAATGAGAAGAGAAATTGTAGTTAGCTCTCCAAAAAGTTACCAGGAGCTGTGGCTTCAAGAAAAAGTTCAACACAGTTATATATATGTACACACAGGGGTCATGAATTAATAAATTACTGCACAGCTGCAAAATTTATTTACAATAATTTTTTTTTTAATAATTGCTTGCATTGTCGCTAGTAAAAGTTTGAATCGTCAATTACAATGGTTAATGCGGCTGCACTTTAGATTTCTTGCTCTTGCCTTCTTCATAAATATTGTTACTTTTGTCTGACCTGTTTATTTGCTTACCTTTTCACCATAAATTTTACAATGGGGAGGTAAAACTTCATTTGCTATTTTTTCAACTCCTGTAAATCTCTCAAAGTTTGGATCCACTGCTTCCAACTTAGAGTTGATTTAGCTTTTTAAAGCCTTTCCATAAACCCTTTGAGGCAATTGTTTTTCGTGTTCAGTTGCTTCATCTTCTGCCTCTATGTCTTATGACACGTTGTCATGGGTTACACAAAGCTGTCCTGAAGATGGTAATTTGGCAAATGTTTAGAAGGCATTACTATATAACACCTTAAGGTCTTTTGTTGTGAATTCTACTAAGGAATTTTGCAATGAAATATTCTAAGAAGTTTATTCTCAGCTTTTTTGTCAATTTTGGCTTTCCGAATCGGTAAGTTCGGAAGTATGCATGCTGCTGAGAGTTATTTACTAAACTATAGTTTGGGAAATAATATTGGTATTTAGATTAGACTTGCTGTTCTTTATTAATTTTAACTGGTCTTTTCCAGGAATTTTTATTAATTTATTTTTAGGTCAGCTAGTCTTTTTCATATACTCTTTTATTAAAATTACTATAATTACTATTTTATTGATGAGACATTTTTCAGAGGACTTTTGAAAATACACAATTGTTCTTCTGCAACATTGTATCTGAAGGTAAATAATGCATATTTTTACAGTCTTTGTAACCAGTATGGCATTCTCATAAGCTACAGTACAATAAATCAAACGCCTTTTTTTTATAAGCAAACGTAACCGATATTAGAATTTTTTCTTTCGGAGGATTACTTTGTAAAGTACTTAGTTATAATGAAAATAAGAAACAAACTGTTTAGTTAAAAACATGATATCTTCTTTAAAAACATGTCTACTATTCAGCAGCATAAACCTAATATTTAAATGAAATACATATGTAGTAAACTTTCGAAGTTACTCGGTTTACTTAACTGCATTAAAACATAAACATATTTTTAACTTGTCGATACATTCTTGGTCATATGTAACTCTAGAAATAAAGCTGTGGCGATGTTTAAATTATAACTGTGTAGTTTAAATGAATTGAATGTAATTATTCTGGTATATATTATTTGTATACTAGCACTTTTATCATTCCTTAAACTCTTCTTAGTGTCTCAATGCTAGTTGCGCTTATGTATTTAGTAACATTTGACCAAGCACCATGCAGTTAAACGTGTTTTTCATTTATGTGTTATTTTCCATTTTTAGTCTGAACATACGGTTATCCCTCCCCTTTCTAAAAAAAATGTTTTTTTTCCTAGTAATATAGCTTTTTTAAGTTTAATATTTATTTATTTATTTTTAAAGTTTGGTAGATATTAAAAAATTAATTCATTGTTAGTCCAAAGGGATTTGAATCCCGAAGGACTATTAGTTTCGTTTTGGCATTTTGCGTCGGACGGATAAATGTCGGTTCACTTTTCAAACTGTTGCCATAAAATGTTAGAGTCCTGCATTATATTTGAAGAAATTAAATAATGAAAATCTGCGTAAATGTATGTATATTTCTCACATTGTCATAAAATAACGGTACATAGAGTCATCGAATTTTGAATAACGTAATCCTCCAACGAATATGAGCATGTGGAAGAGCAAATTTGAAATTTGAAATTTGTTTTATGATCGATTTCCTATTTTTTAAAACTTTGACGAATTTTTGATTAACAAACTCAAGGATTTCAAAGCGAGCAATGGCAACGTTGTGCAGAAAAAACACTTTTATCTCCAGCGCGTGAGTCTCTGTATCGGAAATTCTAAAGATATGCTCGTTTTAAAACTATTTTGCGATATTGCTGTTGCACTGGATCTTATGGTTTAAGTGCGAGGAACATGATATTTAACAAAGAAAGGTAACACACAAAATGTTAAAAAACGCCCCTTTGGACGTAATTTAAAATCTGAAACATTTCAGATTTTTTTTTTGGGAGGGGGGGGGACTTTTTCTGCTGTTTTTGCGATTTAATTATTACTAAATGGCCTCGTGGTAATAATTCGTCCGGAAATTCTTCTGTATATTGATATGTTTGATTTCTAGTCATGTATTTGATGTATGACCTCTAGTCAGTCCTGTAGCTTATAATAAGCTCCTTTCGTGAGCTTTTTCGATGCTCTGTGAGAAAGATACACGAGGTCTCGTTGCATAGGCAGAGCGAAGAAAAGAAATTTTACTACAGGAATAATAAATATGATAATCACGGCCCGGAATCTGATAACCTAGAAATTCACTGAAAATGCCTGTAAAATAGCCTGAAAAAAAAATGCACTTAAAATAGAAAAATGCCCTTTAAAAAAAAGTTTCCCCAAAATGCCTTTAAAATAGCCTGAAAAAAAAAATGCACTTAAAATAGAAAAATGTCCTTTAAAAAAACGTTCCCCGAAAATAAAAATGATGATATAAAAATGACAGAATTGAAAAATATTCACGAATGGATTAAAACCTAACCATTTACCCATACTTGTCACTTGAATTTAATTTTTCTTCCGAATTTTCAACCTTACACAAACGTATTACAATTGCATTGAATTATTAAGTGCTTCATGATTATTTTCGAAAGCTAAAAATCTTATGTTGCCAGTATACAAGTTTTTACATCGTGAGAGGCTTCTCGTGGCATCTACTAGTGCAATATCTTCGTCTCGATTCTAAATCTGTAAAAATACACGACTCGTTTCAGCGAAGCAAAAAAAGGCGAAAATTACGGTCCCTAAACGTGTTTTGCGTTCATGCTATTCCTAATCCGGTTGTCACATTTAAAAAAATGGAAAGATCCAAGGTCATTCGACAACTTGTAGAGTTATTATGTTATGAAGCACGAGACATGAAAAATGTGCTGTGACTCGAACCATGGACCTCTCGACACTGACGGACTATACAACCTGAGCAAAAGCAGTCCTGTGGAACTGAATGCACAGTTCATAAACTGACTGGTATATATTATTTGTATATATATTTGTAGCTGTTCAGACTTAAACAGCTGCGAAATGTCGTTATGGAAAAATTCGGAGAAGTGACATTTCGTGCCTTATTAGATTGACGTGATAGATAGGACTAACATATTATATAATAAATTTTCTGTGGATAGGACATGTCTGCCTAGTAAAATTGCGTTCATAGGAGTTGAGACATTTCTGTTTCAAGGATAACTTTATTTTTCAGTTTGCGTATTAGAATTTGCTTGAAAATGCTCTGAAAGGCCCTAAAAAATGCCCTAAAAAGCCTCCAAAATGCTCTAAAAACTTACAAAAATGCTTTAAAAGAAGAAAATACTTTAGAAGTGCATATGTCTTCAAAATCTGCGCCTTGGTGATGGCTGTTACAGAGCGACTATCGCGAACGAAACGTATAATCAAATTCTTGAGTAAAAATAAAAGAAAAAAGTAGGAAACAAGCGATATTTCGACTAGCAATCAATACTATGTATCGAAAAGTAGAAAAGCCAAAAATAATACA